GGGTAATTTTTCCACGAGTAGTTGTAAATTGGCTGTGTCCATGGGAGGAGGTGAGTTCAGAGTCTGCCTACGCCGCCATCTTGACTCCCCCCCTTCCTCTGCTTTATATGGAACACCACCACAGCATGGCCTGACAGGCGGTGGGTGCATCGGTCCACGCCCGGGATCCGAACCCGGGCCACCAGCAGCGGAGCACGAGCTTTTAATTGCCTCGCCATGGGACCAGCCCTAGACATAATATTTTAAAAATGAAATAGGATGCTGTTTTTTGTGCTCTTAGATAACTTTGATTTAAAAATGTGTTTGGTACCTGTGTAGTAAGGAATTTGACCTTACCCAGGGAGAGGTTTGGCCTTTGTCATGGCTCTTGGGTGGTAGCCTGTAAACACTTGGACTTTCCCGAGTCTATCACTTGGGACTATTCAGAATATTTTTGTTATTCATCGATAACAAAGGCCATATCAGTCCGACCTCAGGGATGGGGGAACTGGAGACATTACAACCAGGTGGGCAATAATTCAATCAATCACGCCTTCATAATGAAGCCTGAATAAAAACAGGACACTGCAGCTTAGCCGAGGTTCCCAGGTTGGCAAAACTCCATGCATGTTGTCACATGTTGATGCTGGGACAGTAACGGGTCCTGAGGGCAGTGGAAGCGTCCTGTTTGGAACTCTCCTAGACTCTGCCCTGTGCATCTCTTCTTTTGGCTGAGTCTAATTTGTATCCTTTCCTTGTAATAAATGTGACTGTGGGTATAATTGCTTTCAGTGAGTTCTGTGAGTCTTTCTAGCAAATTATTGAACATGAGGGTGGTTTGGGGAAGCCCCTGACCTTTGCAGTTGTCAGGAGTGGTGGGCAGAGTTGCTGCCTGGGGAGCTGTGTCTTAGCCTCACAGTTTGGCAGCCCCAGGTAGCACCACGAGGAGTAACTGTACCTGGCCATCAGTGCCTACAGTCCACCTTCCTCATCTCCCTCCCTGTTTTACTTTTTTCTCTTTTTCCTTGTCATCCCTTTTGTGTTTCATATCTCTTTCTATGCCCCTCCTTTTTATCTATCCTTTGCTTATCCTATCAATAACACCCATGAGCCTTAGACCACCTAAACAGTGACATTTAAGCATGAAAAGATCTTTGATCTGGAGACTTTACTGTGAAATGTCTGCACGTGGCCATTGGGGTACCAGAAGAAAGCAAAATGTCTTTAGATAATTTATGGTAAAAGTTTCATTCTGCAAGGAATCATAAAAAATGAAAATCTCGGGGCCGGCCCGGTGGCGCAAGCAGTTAAGTGCACGTGCTCCGCCGCGGCAACCCGGGCTTCACCAGTTCAGATCCTGGGCATGCACTGAGGCACCACTTGGCACGCCTTGCTGTGGCGGTGTCCCATATAAAGTGGAGGAAGATGGGAATGGATGTTAGCCCAGGGCCAATCTTCCTCAGCAAAAAAAGAGGAGGATTGGCAGATGTTAGCTCAGGGCTGATCTTTCTCACAAAAAAAAAAAAATGAAAATCTCATTTGTAAAAATTGAATACATTTAAAGGAAAAGTCTGCATTTGTTAAACTGTAGTTCAGTGGAAGCCTCTGTGGATGTTTGATCTCATTTAAATATGTGTTTCCCTTATAAAACTCACTTTCAGTTTGGATCCTTGCTGTGAGATAAAAACTTTTTAATTGTTATTTGATGGGAAGGAAAGAAAAAACCCTACAACACTTGTACTTATTTATCTACAGGTTATAGACAATTTGTGAAATGAGTGATTCTGAAGATGATGATATCCCCCAGCTGTCTTCCCACACCTTAGCAGCTCTCCAGGAATTTTATGCTGAGCAGAAGCAAGAAATTGACCCAGGCGGTGATGATAAATATAACGTTGGAATAATAAAAGAGAACTGGGTAAGTAAATGCATTCCACATCTATCAGGAAGTATTAGTGTGGAGCCTGTTCTGCACCCAGCACAGTGTTTGTCTGTATCCCACCTAATGCCCAAATCTATCTGCTGAGCATTCGGGAGCTGAACCTATTTGGGGAGCTGAGACAGAAGGCAGTCCATGAATATTTTAAGACAGCATAAATGCAGATTTTCCTGGTTCCGGCTCTCGGGCTGGTTGGTGATCGGTGGAGGGGACTTTTCAGATAGGGGAACGGCATGTCATTATGTCCAACACAAACTTGTGCTTCCTTCTTATATGCTGACACATTCGATTGTTTTTTATGGAGCTCAGCAGTCTTTGGGGAAAGGGAAAAATCTGTATCATTGCAGGCAATAGGGTAACTGAACTTAAACATGTAATGAAAAATTGATGAAAGGGAGCTTTTAAAGAAGATATTAATAGTGTCTGGTGCATAGTATGTACTTTAATTGTAGTTTTTGGTCCAAATAAAAGTAGGAATTAAAAGAGAAAAAAAATGAGTTGAGAGAAACTCCTAACCTAAGGTGGAATCTACAAATTAAAAATTTTTTTTTTTTTTGGTGAGGAGGATTGTCCCTGAGATAACATCTGTGTGAGTCTTTCTCTATTTTGTATGTGGGATGCCACCACAGCATGGCTTGTCGAGCAGCGTGCCCGAGATCTGAACCTGCGAACCCCGGGCCGCAAACCCCGAGCTGCTGAAGCGGAGCGTACAGACTTAACCGCTAAGCCGCTGGGCTGGCCCCTAGAAACTTAAATTTTTTGAAGGCTGTAGTTGAGAAATAGAGGAGGCTTGAATTTTCTGTCTATGAGTGCCCTCGATAATAGATTTGTCTCTCTATCCCTTTGCAACTGGAAGGAAGCTTTTGTATGCTTATATATATATATATTTTTTTTTAGTCTTTTACATTTTATATCGAGTCTGGAGCTCCTAAGTTATATAAAATTTTCCTGTTTAACATCTATTTGAAACTGACTGTGATAAAAATGTTTCTTTCCATTTACTCTAAAATGTTCCACCCACACAGAGCCTCTTTCTCACCCTCTCCCTTCTCTGCGTGGTCTTGTGCTCTAGCTTGATGCTTCAGGACATAGTAAAGATCAGAAGCTTGAAGTGCTGCATTATTCCTGAGTAGTTTACATTATTTTCTTGTCCTTCTGCCTAATTTTTTAAATACTGTGTACTTTTTCCTGATTCTAAAAGTAATCTGTGTGTGTTATAGAAAATATATAAAAACATAAAGAAATGAAAGTTAGTCCTAATCCTACTACTTGGAATTAACTATTTTTATAATTTTGACACTTCATTTTGTTTTGTTTTTTCTTTTTTTTTAAAATGAGGTATAATTGACACACATTATATTAGTTTCAGGTATACAACATAATGATTCGATATTTGTATATGTTGCAAAATGATCACTACAATAAGTCTAGTTAACATCCATCACCATACATAGTTACAGAATTTTTTTTCTTGTGATGACAACTTTTAAGATCTACTCTCTTAGCAACTTTCACATATGCAATACAATATTATTAACTGTAGTCACCATGCTGTACATTACATGCCCAGGACTTACTTATTTTATAACTGGAAGTTTGTACTTTTGACACTCTTAACCCATTTCACCCACCCCCCAACCCCTGCCTGTGGCAACCACGAATCTGTTCTCTGTATCTATGAGCTTGTTTTTTTCTTCTTTTTAGATTCCATGTATAAGTGAGATGATACGGTATTTCTCTTTCTCTGTCTGACTTATTTCACTTAGCATTATCATGTTGTTGCAAATGGCAGGATTTCCTAATTTTTAATGGCAGAATAGTATTCCATTGTGTATATACACCACATTTTCTTTATCCATTCATCCATTGATGGGCACTTCGGTTGTTTCCATATCTTGGCTATTGTAAATAATGCTGCAGTGAACATGGGGGTGCATATATCTTTTTGAATTAGTGTGAATTAGTGTTTTCATTTTCTTTGGATAAATACCCAAAAGTGGAGTTGCTGGATCACATTGTAGTTCTATTTTTAACTTTTTGAGGAAACATTACTGTTTTCCGTAGTGGCTATACCAATTTACCTTCCCACCAACAGTGCACAAGGGTTTCCTTTTCTCCACCTCCACACCAACACTTGTTATTTCTTATCTTTTTGGTAATAGTCATTCTAACAGGTGTGAGGTGACATCTCATTGTGGTTCTGATTTGCATTTCCCTGATGATTAGTGATGCTGAGCATCTTTTCATGTACTTGTTGGCCATCTGTATGTCTTCTTTGGAAAAATGTCTATTCAGGTCCTCTGCCCATTTTTTAATCGTATTGTTTGCTTTTTTGCTGAGTTGTATGAATTCTTTATATATTTTGGATTTTAACCACTTATGAGTTATATGATTTGAAAATATTTTCTCCCCTTCAGTAGGTTGCATTTTTCATTTTATTGATGGTTTCCTTTGCTGTGCAGAAGCTTTTTATTTTGATGTAGTCCCACTTATTTATTTTGGCTTTTGTTGCCTTTGCTTTTGGTGTCAAATTTAAAAAACCATAGCCAAGACTGATGTCAAGAAGTTTACTGCCTATGTTTTCTAGGAGTTTTGTGGTTTCAGGTCTTAGATTCAAGTCTTTAATCTATTTTGAGTTAATTTTTGTGTATGGTGTAAGATAGTGGTCTAGTTTCACTTTTTTGGATGTGGCTGTCCAGTTTTCCCAACACCATTTATTGAAGAGACTGTCTTTTCCCTGCTGTAGATTCTTGGCTTTTTTGTTGTAAATTAATTGACCGTATATGCATGGGTTTATTTCTGGGATCTCTGTTCTGTTTCATTGATCTATGTGTCTGTTTTTATGCCAATACCATACTGTTTTGATTACGATAGCTTTGTAATGTAGTTTGAAATTAGGGAGTGTGATGCCTCCAGCTTTGTTCTTCTTTGACAACATTGCTTTGGCTATTCCGGGTCTTTTGTGGTTCCATACAAATTTTAGGATTATTTGTTCTATTTCTGTGAAAAATGCCACTGGAGTTTTATATAGGGATTGCATTGAATCTGTAGATTGCTTTGGGTGGTACGAACATTTTAACAATGTTAATTCTTTCAATCCACCAGCATGGAATATCTTTCCATTTATTTGTGTCTTCTCCATTTCTTTCTGCAATGTCTTATAGTTTTCAGGTCTTTCATCTCCTTGGTTAAATTTATTCCCAGGTATTTTATTCTTTTTTGTGTGTGTGTGTGAGGAAGATCAGCCCTGAGCTAACATCCATGCTAATCCTCCTCTTTTTGCTGAGGAAGACTGGCTTTGAGCTAACATCTATTGCCAATCCTCCTCCTTTTTTTTTCCCCAAAGCCCCAGTAGATAGTTGTATGTTATAGTTGCACATGCTTCTAGTTGCTTTACGTGGGATGCGACCTCAGCATGGCCGGAGAAGCAGTTCGTCAGTGCACGCCCGGGATCCGAACCCGGGCCACCAGAAGCGGAGCGCGCGCACTTAACCGCTAAGCCACGAGGCCGGCCCTAGGTATTTTATTCTTTTTGATGCAATTGTAAAGGGAATTGTTTTCTTATTTTCTCTTTTCTGATAGTCTATTATTAATGTATAGAAATGGAACAGATTTCTCTATATTGATTTTGTGTCCTGCAACTTTACTGAATTTGCTCATTAGTTCTAACAGTTTTGTTTTTTTTTTTAAGGAAGATTTTCCCTGAGCTAACATCTATTGCCAATCTTCCTCTTTTTCTTTTTTTCTCCCCAAAACCCCAGTACATAGTTGTATATCCTAGTTGTAGGTTCCTCTGGTTCTTCTATGTGGGACATCGCCTCAGCATGGTCTGATGAGTGGTGACCAGATCCACACCTAGGATCCAAACCGGCAACCCCCGGGCCGCCAAAGCAGAACACACGAACCCAACCGCTATGCCACTGGGCCGGCCCCCAAGTTCTAACAGTTTTTTGGTGGAGTCTTTAGGGATTTCTGTATATAATATCATGCCATCTGCAAATAGTGACAGTTTCACTTCTTCCTTTCCAATTTGGATGCCTTTTATTTCTTTTTCTTGCATAATTGCTCTTGCTAGGACTTCCAATACTATGTTGAATAATGTTTTGTTTTGTTTATAAAATTGAGGAAATCTCCTAGGAATTAAAAAAAATTGACAATGATATGAAGTATAGGAAAGAAAACATTATAAAACTAGAGGATAAATCCAGGAGGCTCAATATTCAACTAATTGGAGTTCCCAAAAAATAGAACAGAAAACAAAGAGGGGAGGAAATCTTCAAAGATTAATATTAGAAAATTTCTGAAAACCAGCGACCCTCACTAAGATATGATTATGATAATTGTGAAAACACAGGTGACAAAGAAGATCCTAGAACTTTCCAAAGGAAAAGCAGGTCACCTACAAAGTCTCAGGAGTACGAGTCATATTGCACTTCTCAGTAGCTTTATTGGAAACTAGAAAAAAGTGGAGCAATACCTTCAATATTTGGAGTGAAAATTTTGTTCATCCTAGATTCTATACTCAGCTGAGCTACAAATAAAATATGAGGATAAAATAAAGACATTTTAGACATGGCAAGTCTCATGACGTTTGCCTCCCATGCACCACTTTTCACAAGCTGCAAGAGGACATTGGAAGAATTAGGGGTAGGTTCAAAGAAGCCAAGCAAATGAAACAATCATACATTTATTAACTCTAGGAAAAACAAAAGGTACCATACTGGAAGGAAATGCAATCATAGTATATTACTTGGCTCAGCAGTGAACACTGATAATTGATTTTAACTAACCAAAACTTAGGTTACAACTATATCAGGAGGGTGAGGGATAGGGGAAAGGTGTGTATGAGACAGTGAAATCCTCATCTACCGTAATAAATACGTAATATAAAGTAGGTTAATGAAGAGATAGCATTTAAAACATAATATTTACAAATATGGGGATAGGGGCCGGCCCCGTGGCTTAGCGGTTAGGTGCGCACGCTCCCCTACTGGCGGCCCAGGTTCGGATCCGGGCGCACACCGACGCACCACTTCTCCGGCCATGCTGAGGCCGCGTCCCACATGCAGCAACTAGAAGAATGTGCAACTGTGACATACAACTATCTACTGGGGCTTTAGGGAAAGCAAGGAGGAAGATTGGCAGTGGATGTTAGCTCAGAGCTGGTCTTCCTCAGCAAAAAGAGGAGGATTAGCATGGAT